CCTGCCCGCCCGGGGCGGTGCCATGACGGCGCTGGGGGGCGGTGCCGGCCGGGCTGCCCGCCCCGACATGGCCGCCTCCAGCCAGGTAACGCACACGCGAGGCCGGGGCCGCCGCGCCCGGCCCCGGTTGGGGACGGCGAGCAGCGAGCACCGCCGGGGCGGCCCCTGCCGCGGGCTCCCCTGCCCTCCCTGCCGCCCTGTGCAGGGAGCCGAGCCCGCGGCCGCCCGGCCCCGTCTGCACCAGGTGGTGTAAGGGGAATAAGGCCAAATCAGCGCCCGCGCCTGCCTTACAGCTTTTACAGCCCCACGCCGTGTTTACTTAGGGCTGTACGGACACTGCTGTGAGGGTGCTGAGGCACTGGAACAGGTTACCCAGAGAAGCTGTGAGTGCCCCATCCCTGGAAGATTTCAAGGCCAGGTTGGATAAGGCCTTGAACAGCCTGGTCTAGTGGGAGGTACCCCTGCCCATGGCAAGGGGGTGTTGGAACTAGATGATCTTTAAGGCCCCTTCCAAGCCCGTAACATTCTGTGATTCTGTGACACGTTCCTGTGGTTATTCCGATTATCGTTGTTGTCTGTACGAGTGCCCAGCGCCCGCGGGTTTGCGGGGTGTCGATGGGAGGTTTGTGTGCCGGCTGTCCCTGGCACAGGTGGGATGGGAGAAGCCGCGGGGATGTGCTGGCACCTTTAGGAGCATTTGGCCAATGCTGGAGCTCTTAAATCTCCCCATCAGGGCTGCTGAATTTCGTGTTTGTTTTTGTTTTGTTTGTCTGGATTTGTTTGTTTGTTTGTTTGCCCGCTAATTTTGATGTCTGTATGTATGCAGCATCCGTATACGTTTATGTTGACGTGTCCGCGGCACAAAAACAAGCCAAAACTGAGTAATAGATCCAAACTTATCCCTGATCGTGGCGCTCCCTCTGCCGACGGCCGCCGCTCAGCTCCACCCAGACACCTGCATTTTCCTTTTTCAGAAGCGGCTTCTACAGCAGATAAAGTTCCCGCACTGCATTAAAGCTTTACGTTAACCTTTGTAGTAGTTTCAGGCCATCTGTGTGACCTGCTGTAACATGAGCTCTCATTCCAAGGGGAAACTCTTTCAGTGTATTTTCAGGAGCTACTTTTTAAAAATACTCGTGAAAGGAGGTGACGAGTAATACGTGCAGCAGTGCATTATCCCTTTTTCTTTTGTATTTATGTTGGCCTTTGTAAAACGGGTGTGAGATCCTACCAAATGAAGTTTTCCACTTCCATGCAGTGGAGGGTGATTCCTTTACTCAGAAATCAGGGCAGACTGTTGGTTTCTGTGCCTGCAGAATTGAGCCTCGGGTAATGATGCAACAGACAAGGCAGAGAATTTAGACCCAGTTCAGAGACCAGGCTGAAGCTGTCTGAGAAGCTTCTGCTGTCTCAGCCATGCAGGTAGTACTGTTTGAGATGCCTTCAGGGGCTGGAGGCAATACTGGCAAGCATGACACAGCACGTCAAGAGGATCTTTGGCTTCTTGAGTAGCAGCTGGAAGGCCAGGCATTGTGGAGCAGGGCATCTCTGCCAATTTTAAGTGCTGTTTAGGCAGCTGAATCACAGTCTCATCTGTCCTGTGTTCCGTTATTTAGTTCAGAGGTTATGAAAAGACAGGAAGTAGTCTTTCAGCTTCAGTTTTGGTGCTAGTTTGTTAAATATTGTGGCAATGACTTCTCTCCTTTTGCCTGGAGAATGTGGGAGTTTGAGGACCTGACTAAAGGCCTGAGTAAACTCAGAACTGCTTCCCCCAGAGATCAGATGAAGTTTTCTAGTACACAGAGGTGTAGATGTTATGAGCGAGACCTGACCTTTCAGTTTGAAATCCTTTTGTTCTGGCTGAGTGTGTTCTGCAGGAGCTGCATGACAGCTGGTATGGGTGCACAGCTGGTATGCATGACTGACTGGTATGGGTGATGTGCATAGTCTCCTCCATGCTTTTCCACCTGAACCAAATGTACCTGCTTCCAAAGCATTAACCTGTACCATATTTCTACTTTCTTTCTCTAACTCCTCCTCACCAAGTCAAAGATGTGTCTCTACTGTGCTTTCCTGTAAAGTAGTTTGAGACTGCATGACCCGCTCCCCAGAAAGCCCTGCACATGGGCAGTCTATAAAGCTGTTTGCCTCTGTGCACCTGTGTATGGCAAGAAAAGTTGGGCAGGCCAAGCCTTTTGGACCAAATTGTGTAGATGGTGGTGCTTACCTATATGGTTTAGTGGTGAACTTGGCAGTCCTAGGTTAATGGTTGGACTCGATCTTACAGGTCTTTTCCAGCCTTAATGATTCTATGAAATCATATAATTGGACAGGTTGGTAGGCTTGCTGAATGACCCTGCAAATCAGATGAATCCTGGTAAGGGTAACTCGTTAGATGCACTTAGAGAAATTAACTTGATGTAAACTTTTTGGGCTTCCTTCCATGAGACTTTTATTTTTCCCCTCTCAGGTACCTTGATTTTTATGTATGTTAATGTTGTAGGGGTTTGTTTGGTTTGGTTTGGGTCTGTTTGTCTGTGGTTTTGTTTGTTTATTTTTGTTTTGTGTGTGTGTCTCCCTGTGCCTTTTTTGGTGTGAGGAAGTTTGAGATTTCTTGATCATTGTTTAACTAATGAAGGTTAAGAGGACCATTTCTCTCTGTATCTTTAACCCCATTTGCCGATTAAGTGAAGAATCCCTCAGAGAACTATTGTGAGTTACTTGTCTTTAGAAGCAAGCATGTGTTTTTCAGAAAATGAGCTGTGGCCTATGTACAGGTCTGCCATCAAGAAGGGAAAATAATTATTTAAGAAAATAATAAGAGATTTGGGAAGGGAAGGGGAAAAATAATCAGTATAAAATGAGCAAAAAGCAAAATAAAATGCTGCAGCAATCACAGGGAATACATAGTCACAGTTCCTATGCATCACTTTAATGTTTCATAACAATTTTACTAGCACATTGGTGTTTGTTTAAAGGAAAAATTTTGCTAAGTCATTCAATGCAAAGTTGCAGCAAATACTAATATGACTTTTTTCTTTTTTTTTTTTACCTTTACCGTTTTTTAGTGGTACATCATCATATTATTATGACTGTGTCTGCAGTTTAGGTATTGGGAAGCAACTCCGCAGTCTTGAAATCTAGAAGGCATGCAAGTGGATGATGGACTGTTGGAGCAGTTGACACAGTTAAATAAGTACATGTAGAAGTGATTGACCTAGTTTTGTTTTTTTCCTGTAAAATACAGTAACAAAAATATTTTGTGAGATGAAGAGGAGATGTGGTGAAAGGATTGTTGTCAGATCAATGATAATGAAAGAAAGAAAAAGTACAGACAACTGCAGTTGACTTGTGCAGCTGTACTGTTACGAGGATTTTTGGGAAAGCAGAGAAGAAACCACTAAAATATGGGTAAGGGATTATGCTATAGGGAGAGATAGAGGCAAAGTCAAGCTACATCAGTGTTTGGGAGCTTTGTTACATTACATGAGGACTCTTCCCTTGGATTTGAAAGAAGTAGGAAGGGAGAAAGAGAAAGAATGCAGGCTCAGAGAGATGTAGGAATGTACTGTATGATCTCAATATAGCAGTAGACCAAAAGTGGCAAAAGATGCAATAAAATCTGGAGGAGGCTAGTGACTCTTAAGTAACTCACTGCTTGGTAAATACTGTCTTGCCATGACATGCAATAGCTAACATATATATGTACACAGTTTTCTGTTCCTTCTCATGACAGGAATGTGTTTTGCATTAAGTTTGGCCTTGGGAGATGTTCTAAATGAAGTGTGGAGCATCCTGGTTGCTTGCTCTTGGGCATCTAAGTATTGAACGCATTTTTCTCTCAAAAAAAAAAAAAAGCAAGTTTGACCAAATGTCCTACTTGGTTGCAATTAGGAAACACGACCCAAATGAACAGTTCATCTCCAACTCAAGCATTTGGTGAGGCATGAGAATAACTTAGAAGCTGTGATGATGCTAATGTCATGGCAATTTCACACATATCTTTTTTCTCATGTTGTGCTCTGGAGAGACTGTAGAGAGAAGAAAATTAGCTGAAACTACTGTGTGAGAGCAGGAGAGGCAGACAGGTTTAAAACCCACAAATGGATGTAGTGATACTGTGAATAAAGGAGTGAAGAGGAAGAGGAAAATTGGAAAATGAAGTCAAGGATCATGACAATCTTTTTAAAGCTTTAATTTTGGGAGAGATCCTCTTAATAAAATAGAGTTTAATAGCAGAACTTCAGAGATGGGGAAAACTCTGCAATTGACTAAGGAAGAATGTAGTTTGCAGATTTGGTTTTATCAGCCCCAAATAATTCATAAAATCTGGAATTATCTAAATTCGTAATACTGTCCTAGAGATGACAATAGAGACTCTAGAGCACGCTGAAGTACTCAATTTTTCAAGCAGGACACTTACTATGTCTTGTTACTTCTGCGTTCCAGATCACCAGCATGGAAGCTAAAACTAGTGGAGATCGTTTGAAAGTCCATAAAATGAAGAAGAAGGTATTGAGGAAGCAGATCAGAGCTCAGCATACACTGATGAGACATGAAGGCATTGAGTGCATCTCCTGTGCCACACAGGTGACTGGTAGTTGTAATTTTGGTGGTAGTGTAAAAATGCTGCTTATCTGTGTTCTGTTCTTATGTATGCCTCATTTAAAATGCCGTTCTCCAAAATGCACTTCCTGAGACTGAGGGTTTTCTCTGCATCTTTGATTTCAAAGCAGAACTGTACTTCAGCAGTTCAGTGTCTGTGGAGAGACTTTGATGGCCTTTGGATAAGGGTTTTTTTAACCTGAAACAGTAGTTCCTTGGGTTGAGGAGGAGGAGGAAGCATGGGAAATGTTATTGAAGTAGATAAACTTTTCCTCTCTTTCTCTGTGATTTCTTTTTTTCTTGGGCTTTTAACTTGTGTATCTTTCTTATCTCTGTACTTTTTTTTTTTTTTATCAAGTGTAATTTGTCTCATCTGAACTCCCCATTAAAAACATGTCTATTTTGGAAATCTTTTCCACTTTGCTTTCTTTACCTAGGTAAATTAAGGCTGTGGTTCCGTGAGGTTTGAACTGGTTGACTGACTTGCAGCTGTTGAAATGGGGACATCTTTCTGTTTCCTTGCACAAAAGGGAACAAGATAGGAGGCAATTCTGCTTTCTCATGATGCTTAATGAACTTTATCATAAGCCACTTTATTCCCTAACCTAACAGAAAACTACTCAGCTTTTTGATTTGTAGTTTTCTCCCACAGTAGAGTTACAGCAGATCAGAAAGTGACCTCACAGATACTGATGTAGCAAAAGGTGACTAGAAACTCGCAAGACAGAGAGGGAAGAAGTTAGAAAGTTTTTAATTTCCCTCTGTTATTTCTGAAGGGATACTAATAGCTTGAAACACTGTAGAGCAGTATTATTTACTCTATCCTTGCTCATCCTGATCCTGCAAATTCTTCCCATTCAAATGTGGAAACATCAGTTAAATCTTTATACGATTTTGTAACTAAGTATGATTTAGTCTTTACTTGGATTTCACACCTCATGGACAGATGTTAAAATGACTCAGCAATCTTGTATGTATTGTAAACTTCTTGGAAGAAAGACTGTGTTTTTCTAGTGTTGCTTGGAAATGGGTCTTTAATTTGGGACTTGTTCCCCTTCAAACTCTTCGAGGTACCAAATTATCCATCTAATCTATCCAGAGAGTAGTTTTGTGGTCCAGCAAGATCTTTACTGGTGACAGAACATTTGAATAAGTGATATATGAAACAATATCATAGTGCTAGTGGTAAATTTGTGTCAAGAACACAGAAAATATTTCAGGCTTTGTGCAAAATTCTGATTATCTCCAAATTGCTCAGTCAGAAGAACATCATCAGTTGCTGCATGTGCTGGAGCAGTTGCATAGTAGATGCATAGTCTTTGTAGATGAAGTGAAAGCACTGGTTTGTCCTTCACATACATAAGCCTCTCCATTAATAAAATTCTAGAAAAGAGCAATAATCAATAATGAGGTAAACTTTGGAAAAGGTGATCAGTAACAGACAGCCTGATGCAGTGCTTGGAACAGATGTTAAGAGAGCCATTGCAATAGGCAATACAGCAGCACTCACTGTATAACTTTTTTTTTTGAATAATCCTTCTCTTCAGTGCTAAACCTCATTTTCTGTTTTTTTTAGAGAAGTGAAATGCTGTCATTTGAAACAATTGAACACTTTCCCATCTACCTTCAGTCATAGAACATTTATAGACTTTTAAGGAAAAGATTGTCTGAAATCTTTCTGGAAAGGTATTACATGGAGTTAGTCTGAGCAAATTGTTGCTGGCAGTTTGGAGTCACACTTATCCTTGAAAAGGATATTGAACTTCTTTCAACCACTATGATTGGGTTGAGGATCCAGTTATGGCATATAGCTACTCAGATGTCAAAAGAACTTGTTATTTGTTTTGAAAAGGCCTATGTATTTTCAAAAGATATTTCTTGAACAATAGTGCTATTTTGTTGTTTCTTCTAATATTTGGCAAGCCAGCAACAGTCCTCACAAACTGCATGCTCCTTGATAGCTTTGGACATAAATTAATATGAAAGCACAGAATTAAGCAATTAGGCATTATGCATTAAGTAGCCTATGTTAACTAAGGATAGGACATAAATCCCTTTTGTTTATAAAACAAGAGAGAAAATTTTCAGATAAAAGTGCTGGAGCAGAACTAGATGCTGTGTTTTTAGAGCGTTACTGCTTGTTTTTGGTGAACCTGACGTATGGAAGACTTATGGTGGGACCACGAATATCCATTTCTATGCTTGGAGACACTTCTTGGCAAAGATGAGAGAACCTGTCTTAAAAAAAGGAATCAGTCTCTAAAGGGTTTTCTGTTTGTTTTTGTTAGTGATAACAGGTCTCTGGAAAAATTGTGTTTTAAAACCCTCCAAAGTTATGTGTGCCAGCATCGCTGTTTGCCTGCGGTACACTTGACGCATATGTGCTGATTCAAAGTATATATTAACTGAGGAGGTATTTCTGATAGAACTTGCAAGCCTTTCTGCCAGAATGTGTGCTAGGTGAGGAGAGCTTGCCTGAGCCACATACCAAGCTAATAGAAATGTAAATATCCCATATGGACAACAAAAAAGCATGATCGTGGGCTTAATTTTTCTTTATAATGCAGCTCTCTTCGTAGAGTGTTAGTTTTAAAGGAACCGAGAGTAATCACTAATTCTTATTTTTAAAAAATTCCTTTTCAATTAGAGCCTGGTTATTGCCAATGCTGGTCTTGGTAATGGGATGAGTAGACACCAACTGCTCAGGATAGTAGAAGAATATGGAGAGGTGGAAACGCTCTTAATGCCACCAAATAAACCATATTCTTTTGTGAAATATGAGAGAACAGAAGAAGCCAAGAAAGCCTTTGATGCCCTTAATGGAAAAGAAGTAACATTGGAAGACTGTGGCCAAAACATTGTTCTATATATTAATTTTGTGGAAAAAGGTATAGTTTTTTTTGCTCTCCTATGTATCCAGCTTCCTGTGTATTGCTTCCCTTTGCATTTACTTCCTGGGTTGTAAATATAGTTAAAAGCACACTAGTTTTTGTAAGTGGGCACAGAGAATGAAAGCTAGAGTCTAAGATTCAGGACATAAAATTATCTTTGCTCCTTGTATTTCATGATAGGATACTATAATTTCAACTCTTTTACTTGGAGGCAAAAAAAAAGGGATTTAATTAATTTCCTGACCATTCAATACTGCATTTGAATGTTTTGCGGTTAAGGAGCCTGGAGATCTCTGGACAGTTCATTGGATTTCTTGCATGATCCTAGTCTTGCAATCTTTCTCTCAATTCCAAGAAGAAAAATATGCACAATAAATGTGATGGGGTTTTTTTTCCCCTTTCCCCAAGTTGTGGGGGTTTTTTTGCTGATTATAAGCTATTTACTATAAGAACTGTTGCACTTTCTATGAGCTTTTATAATGTCTAGGGAAAAGGGTTCCTGGTGTTGGTCTATACATTCTGGCAGCAAATAGCTTTTTTAGCTATTAGGATAGCAAAATGAATGTCCCTACATCATCAATGCTTGTGCTTGCCTAGAGATTGCAATGTACTACTCCATATTTGTGCATATTTGATTACAGAGTATTCTCTGTCTAGAGAAGCAATCTGCTGATACGCTACATCACTAAAGTTCTACAAAATTAAAATGAAATTCAGGTAGAACCTTGAAGTGACTGGGAAATTCTGTTTACCATTATTTTGACAGGAAAATCACAAGTGGTTTTGTGTTTGAGTAGTGTGGAGTCTTTTTGTCTTATACAGTCAAATTTTTAGGAAGTGCTTTGCATGATGCAAAACTTGAGCCTTATCCTGTTTTATCATGACAGAAAGGAATCATTCATATACCAAATAAGACCACGAGGGCTATGTTGTATCGTTAAAGTAAATGTTTCTACAGCTGTATTATATTCTCATACAAAATGAATATCCCTGTAGGGAACACATGGTTTTATTTTCTCTAAACAGTGACAGTAATCTCCTTTCTTTCATACACCCTAGTTTCCTTGCAAAATGCTGTTCCTACAAGCTTACCTCCAGGATTAACAGTAATTGAAAAGATTATTTCTCCAGAGGAGGAGAGGAGGATGTTGGAAAGTATTGAGTGGATAGGAGATGAAGATACTCAAAGTGGTGGGTACAACTATAGAAATCCAGACCTTCTATGCTTTTATGCTGTTTTTTCCTGCAGTTTCAGTTTACAAAGAAGTCTGCATCTTGGTAAATGTGTTGTCTGAAATGATTGTGTGTTTGTTCTTAGGATTTTAGAAATTGGGTCTTATACTCCAAGTGATAGACTCCTGGAGGCAACTGGTCTGAATTGATATTTTAGGATGGATTTAGTTGATTAACATACCTGCATCCAAAACCAACTAAAGCCATTTTTATGTGTCTTGTGCCAAGCATAAGATAGTTCTGTGGAGTGTCCCCTTGTAATTTGATGTCCAACTGCGGAGCTGTGTCTTCTTTTAAATAAAAAATAATCCAGTGAGACACATTCTGAATCCCTTTTTTGCTTTCACTTGAGTTCTGTGGAGCTAAATCCCTTAATAAATGAATTCTTGGCATTTGCTTCGAAGTTATTGGCTAAATTTTGTTCCTTGGAGCAATACAAGGGGTTATGTTGACCTTAGCTAACATGTAAAGTGGTGATTGATGAATATGAAGGGTCTTGCTCTTGTATGAATATCCATAGGATATTGTTTTAACTGCTAATTGAAGAACATTTAGGCTTAACAGGTCAAATGGGATAGGGAAGCATATAGCAAATTTCCTGTACTGTTTTATGTAGTCTAATCTTACTTTAAACTTGCTTGTTTTTACAGCCCAGAAGAACTTAAAGCATAGAAGAGTAAAACATTTTGGATATGAGTTTCGCTATGATAACAACAATGTTGATAAAGACAAACCTTTACCTGGAGGTGAGAACTTCCCTAAGAAATCATACTTATTTTGCACCGATATTTGAACCATTATGTAAAGCCTTTAAACCTCACTGAGATATGGATGTGAGATTCTAGTTGGAGAACTTTCACTGTATCTTAAGTATACACCAAACAGTGCTTTTGAATGAGATCCATTCCAAATTATTGTGAGTGCTTTAAGCTTGTTTTCTAATCAGTTGGAACCAGAGGTTGCTGCCCTTTGTTGAGGTCCAGTCAAGTAAGGCTTTTAGGATTGTAATTGTCATTCTTTTTTAGCTTTTTGTTTCATAAAACAATTATGTGTTACAAATTGCATATTAATTTGTTTGGGGGATGTGACGTATGTTGCTGTATATATTTATCTCGATTAGCTTGAAGCTTGCTGCATGCACACCAAAATAAAATTTCCTTTGGACTGAAAACCATTTTGAAAAGGTTTTAGTAACTCTTGTTTGGAGTTGAAAGCTGTGAGTCAGAGCAAAGCAAGTGAGTCATCTTATAGTCTTAGATTTAAAAATAGTAAAATAGGAGAGTTAAATTCCTGTAAAATTTGAAGGTGTTTAAGGTGATGCATGTGTTTTGGGATGGATGCAGCATCCAGCTGAAGGATTCTGATTATGTTGAGGTTTTAACAGTGAAGCTATACCATCATAAAAGCATTGATATTTGAATTGTTTTCTAGTCTCACAGCTAGACCATTTTATGTGTGAGAAAAGCATACACGCTTCTTGCAGGAAAACAACTATAAGTAAAAATCAATAGATTCATGGAAGGGCTATTAGTAACATTTGTGGGTGTTAACCTGCAACAGAATTTTTCAATTAAGTCATTGGGTAAAATAGTAAATCAAAGCTTTACTGAAGGACTATAGCTTTCCTTCCTGTTTCAAGACCAGCTTATCTTGAGCAGAGTTTTTTGGTCATATTTAATCTAATTCAGTAAGAAATTTTCAGGGAGTGATTTTTTTAGAGCTCTCTGCACAACTTCTGACTCTCTGCATAATAATTTTGCTTCTTGACTGAAAATTCTTTACTGTAACTGGTGAAAACTTTACCTCTGATTTGATGCACTTTTATTTATGTGTAGAGATACTGCAGTTTGCATTTGTAAGGAGCCTTGGAGAAGTGACCTTTCTAATTTTTAGATCTTATAAATATACTGGACTTGGACATGAGGCCCCCAATTCTGACATGTATGTTAGTAATCATTATTCAAGATGCACTTGCATGTATATAAAGGTGTTCTTGTGTACTTTTCCAGTTATATTTATTGTAAAAAGAAAGGATAAAAATGTAAAAAGCTGTCCTGTTTTGCTTACAGTTCTGTTTCTATAACCAGGTCTTCCTGAAATTTGCAACCTGTTCTTGGAGAAGTGCTTAAAGCAGGGATACATCAAACATAAACCTGATCAACTGACTGTAAATCAGTATGAACCTGGACAAGGTAAGTTTATTTGTCTTTCAAAAACTTTGACTTCTTTACCAGGTTTAAACCACAATGTAAGGTAGGTAACTTAAGTACCACAAAACCGCTTGCTCACTCCCCCTCACTAAGATAGAGGAGAAAATTGGAAAGATAAAAGGCAGAATACTCATGGGTTGAGAGCAAGATAGTGTAGTAAATTAATAAAAAGGAAATAAAAAATAGAAAAACAAATGATGTAAAAAAAGCCCAAACAGTTACTCACTACCAAGCAATCAGTGCGCAGCCAGTCCCTGAGTAGTGACATCCCTGGTAAACTTCACCATGTTTTATTGTTGATCACCATGTCATATGGTCATATGGAATATTCCTTTGTTCAGTTTGGGTCAGTTGTCCCAGCTGTGTCCCCTCCCAGCCAACTTGCTGGCAGCGAAGTATGAGAACCATTAAGGACCTTGATGCTGTGTAAGCACTCCTCAGAACTAGCTAGGCTAGTTCCACGTATTTTCTACACTGTTTTCATTACAAATCCAAAGCATAGCACCATACAGGCAACTGTGGAGCAAATGAACTCCATCCCAGCCAAACCAGTACAATTTCACTGAAAAACAGAAGGAGTGTAGCATCTAAATGTGACACGGTGTAGGGACAGGATTTAAGCACCTACTTAGTGCATTTCCTCTGTGACCAGAAATGCTTTGAATCAAAACTAAAGTGTTAATATTGGTTTCTGAACCTGGAAGCTTGTTTTTAGAAGTGAAGTTTTTGATACCACTGTTAAAGAAAATGATGGTGTTTCAAGGTCCAGGCCAATGACATGAAAATTAACCATAAAATGTTATGGGAATAGTCATATTTTTTTTTAGTCAAGTGCATTTTTTCACTCCAGACTTGTCTTTCTCCCTGTAATGTGCATACAGTCTCCAGGAAGTGGCTCTTGCTGTTATTAAGTATGATACAATGCGAGTATATGTGATATATGGACTCTTAAGTATGATGCAAGCAGTGTTCCCTTACCTTAGAAATAAGGAATTACTCTATTTCTGTAACCTTTTCCAAACTGGAGACATCTGAAGAGAAATATGCTTCTAATCTCACCTCTAGGGAATAAATCCCATGCTGTACTTTTTGCTAAACTCAGTCACCAAGGCAAAGTGTCTGGCATGCTTTCTAGATTGAATATCTCATTTGTCCTTAGGAAGAAAGGACAATGGCTTTACTCTCAGAATTAGTGTCTGACAGCCATTACAGTGTCTGCCCAACAAGGGTCTGAAAAGCTGATCCTATTTGTTTGTGTATCTGACAATCTGTTAAATTGATACAGTCAAATCCTTGTGCCTGGGACACCAGAGGAGATTATTTAGAATTGTAGATTTCTATCAGGGATAGAAGCAGTTTTTTTAAAAAACAAACAAATAAAAAACCAAGCCCAAAACAAAATACCCTTTCTTAAGTGCAATTTGTTAGGATATGAATGAGCACAGAGTGCAGTCAGATTAATACTTTCAGTATTTTTATTCTGAGCCATATTTTCACTGGAAATTTTAGAAAGTGACTCATGGCTTTGGGTATTTAAGCTGTAGGGGCCACACATAAGACACATTAAATGAATTCCTTTTTGAGGACACTTTTTCCATTCAGGATCCTAATAACATTTGAAGTTGTAGATTTATGCTTGGACGTTACCATATACTTTTGAATGCTTACAGAACTGTTAGTGTAGAAATCATCCAGTCCAACCCCCCTGCATTGGCAGGATCACCTGGAGCAGGTGACAAAGGAATGTGTCCAGGTGGGTTTTGAACGTTTCCAGAGAGGGAGATTCCATGACTTTCCTGGGCTGTTTGTTCCAGTGCTCTGCTGTGGGGTCTGGTTACACCAGGTGCTGCAAAGCATCCTGGGAGTTGTAGTTCTGAGTACTCTGTTACACATGCTCTGTTGAATGCTTGTATGGGATTGGCTTAAGTTACCTGTGTGACGTGGCAGCATTTGAAACTGCTATATAAGCTGGGACTCCTTGAATAAACTCTCTCTTGTTACACACCACGTTGGTGTCGCTATAGTCCCCATGGGACTTATTATTTATTATATTAATAACTGCTACATATGGCGCCCGGAACAGGGACCTAAGCCTTATCCTGAATCAGGAAGAAATACGGACCAGACGTCAGGTACCAGCCTATATTTAACGCTGAGGGACGTCCGCCGTGAAAAAGAAAGAAACGCCAGGTACCAGAGGAAAGGAAACTCTGATGGGCGAAGGCGGGAGAAACCGCGATTGAGCTCGAAAAAAGGCCTGAATTCGGTAGGAAATTGCCTACGTTTTGAGAGGACGCTCTCGAGAAGAAAAATCTACGTCCCAGGTGAGAGGGCGGGAGAAAAAAGAAAAAGAGAAAGAATGAAAACTTTTAATTCACATGGGCCGCAGAATGTTGCAAGGGCCCTAAGCTTGATATTGAAAAGACTTTGGAGACAGGTTAACAAACATGGAATAGCTGGACTTTTAAAATTGATGAAAATAACTGTTTTAGGACTGCTGTTATTTACAATGCTTAGTGAAATTACTTGGAAAGAGGAGTGGAGAAGCAGAGAGAAAGCAAAAGTAAAAAAGGTGGACACTTTAAAACCCTCACAAGAGAATTCGTCCACAGAGAGAAACTTTGAATCTTCCCCTCCCCCAAACATTGTAAAGCATGGAACTCCACGTACTACTACAGTGTGGAAAGGGGGAGGGGGTCCGAGAGCATGGAAGAAAAGTCTTAGAATATACCTTTTTGTACTGAATTTTCGCGGATGCGTGAATTCCGAGAAAAAGGCGCGTGTCGCGGATTATGTGACTGGTAAAAGGGAACAAACTTTGAATCCCCAAGCCATAGCAAACTTGCAGACACGCGGAGACCACGCCGGAGCATGGGCGGCACCATCTTGCCCATGCCGGGAGCAAGAGGTAATCCCTTCTCTTCCTGTCTCGTGGCCATGTTGTAAGCTGCCTCTGCTGGAGGCGTGCATGGAACATGGTCCGTGCTGGGAGCCGGTAGCTAAGCAACAGCTGCTGTGCCTACCAGCAACAGCGGCGCGATGTTTAAAAAAGATACGTGATAGCCGCTCGACGTTGCGAGCGGCGAGGCCGGCGGCGAGCACAGAGCGCGGGGCTGTCGAGGCGCTCAGCAGCCGCAACAAGTCAGGCCGGGAACAGAGCTGTGCACGGCTCCGCAGGACTGCTGGCGGCGGGCGGCGACTCCGGCCCCCCCGAGCCGGGCGGCTCCGAGACGGGGCTCGGCAGCAACGGCGACTTCCTCTCGCGGTGCCGGCTGGTGTCGACCAGGCTGCGGCGGCGGTTCCTGCGCAAACCCAGATGGCAGCGGCGGCGCACCACCGAGCGGCGGGCCCGGCGCACAGCGTGGAGGGAGCCGGCGGCTGGAGCGGCGCCCGCCGCGGGACGCCTCTGTCCGGAGGCCCGCAAGCGGGCCAAAGCCCGGCCGAGGCGCGGCCGAACAGGAGGCGACCCGAACCGAGCGCGGAAGCCCCGCCGCAGCTGGCGGCGACTCCCGCCGCGCCCCCGACCCGCGTGGAGCTCCTGGCGAAGCTCCGCGTGGAACCCCGGCCGGGGGGGCAGCCGCCGTGCCTGAGGAGAAGCTGCGGGGCGGTCCCGCGGCCATCCCGGGCGGCCGAGCAGGCTTGCGCCGGGACTGTGGCACAAGTTTGTAAATGCAGCTGGGGCGGCGCGGCGGCTTCGGTGAACACGTGTCGGCGGCGCAGAGCTGCGAGGCTTTCGCCGCCCACCTGCACTTGGAACGCGGGCAGCCCGTAGTGACGGCCGGGTCGGGCCGTGCCTGGAACTGACGGTCGCATCCCACTACACGAGCCAGCCGCCCGTGCCGCCGCTCCCCTAAAACGGACCACGCGGCCGCAGCAGCGCGGCCCGGGACAGCCGCACATGCGGCACAACGCCGGGCTGAGCCGAGGCCCGGCGGCGATGACCAGCGACATGGGCCCCACCGTGAGCGCGCCGGGCCATGGCCGCAGCCACTCCGGCTCCTCCGGGAGCCTCAATAGTGACAACACCGCCTCCCCACTCCTGTGAGAGGGGCGGCGGCCCGGACAAAGACCTGGGCCGAGGCCAAAACTGTACAGACACTGAATTTACTGACTGTTTTTACATGTTTTACATATAACCCTTTAGAAATCATTACAAATGTTTTTGTCTAAAATAATTTAGTTAACTATCTTTAATTTTCTAGTTACACTAATAATAGAAAAAAAATTCAACGTTACCTTATTAATACATTTTTAAGTTTCTAATTTCCCTGCAGCTTTGTTTAAATTACTAATAGTCACATTTACTGAATATTGAAGTTTATAATTATCTCGTTTAAATAGTAATTAGCATCTTTAAGAATTTCTATTGTTATTAATTAACAGATTGTAATAGTAACCTACCTGTTCATTTCTCTAAGTACTCACTCAGAAATATACACACTACTTACCACTCTTATACCTTTAAATTCATTAACTTTCCATAATCACAACAAAAGAAGGGGAGTAGACAGAATATGCATGTAATTAAGTAAGTAAATCCTGAGTCAAACAATTTTCATTCTGACCAAACACTACATAAAAGTTTAAGTTGTATAGCTAGAATATGAAAACAAAGATTACATGTATGCATGAATGAAAAATGATTGGGGTGGCCACCCGAATGAGTGAGTGAGAAATTGTGTGAATGTATGAATGTATGTGAACCATTTACACCTTATACAAAATATCTGAAATGAACACACAGAGCAAACACTACCTCTAATATATCGCCTTAATAAAAGGCAACTCAAAACATGATGTTCCTCCTTTAAACTTTTCCTTGTGTTTTAATAAAGTAAATTTTCCCCAATTATATATAAACCCTCAGATTGATAAAAGTTTTTGTTCTACCCAATTGCAAGAAACCCTTAGATAAATAAGGTTTATAATGAATAAAGTTTTGTTATTATATAGAACTCTTAAGTATATAAGGTTTAAGCAAA